AAGCACTTAATTTTACATGAAACAAGTTATATAAAATTCAGAGCGTAAAATTATTGACTGCCTAGGCTGAGTGTGAAAGCACTGCACTATTCAATCCATTGCTCTGTGCAGAACGTTTGTACCAAACGGTAAAGGACGAGGCAATGAAAGAGCCAACAAAAACATTCAGTGACTGAGTTGGTAACGGTCAGTTTGGTCAGTGACGTTTGACGAAAACCAAAAATAAATTGTCGCGGTACAAAAACCATCATTTCCATACATCCTTCGTCATTGACGTACACGGCGAATGAGAACGACTTAAATTTGAGTTTAGTTCACTCATAATCGCCAAAAGTGCAGGAACTCAGCGATGAGTTAATTTGCCTCATGTTTTCCCAGGTTTTTCCAGGATTTTCCAGGGAAAAATTCCCGAATTTGAGAAAAGTAAAGATTGGATTCACTCAGTCTATTGGTACTACTCCGAGACTGAATAAAATTTTCGTCAATTTCCTCATTTTCCGGCATATTTTTTAGGTTTTCCACAGTAAACCATGAGACAAATTTTACTCATCGCTGAGTTCCTGCACTTTTGGCGATTATGAGTGAACTAAACTCAAATTTGAGTCGTTCACATTCGCCGTGTAGAGAAGCCGACAGTAATCCCTTTGAACAAATCCTATCGCATCTTTTACCTTCACTTCTCTTTTTTGTATCATGCATGGACAAAAAAAAGCAAATACCGTCGAACGTGCATGCGAGCAGACAAATAACTACACTATGAGCGCTTCTTGTTTTCCTTTAGCCTTTCATTCTCCTAAGCGTTGATAGACCATTGGTAAAGACACAAGCCTGTTAATCTCAACGTTGGTGGTTCGAATCCGTTTTGTACCCATTCTAAGTTTTTTGCGTTGCTTCCAACGTTGTCAAACAATAAAAAACGGCTGACTAAAACGTGCAGTTTTTAATCCTCTCCGAGTAACCGACCGACCTAAGAGAGAGAGAACGTACTGAGCTAGTTTTTTTTCACGACGTAAATGAAAGAGGACTATCTTCATACGGAATTTGTCATGCGCTGCTTGGAGTGCGACGAAGATAGTAATACAGTATTTTTCATCACTGACTTTGCTCTCTCTACGTTGATGAAAGACAGCCCTGAATTCAGTCACTCACGAGCAGGCGACGCACACCGCTTGCCTTCGCTCACACAGCATGTAATTGAGTCATTTTTCCATATAAAATGTACGCTCAGTCATTCAAAACAAATATTGCACACTACGAAAATATCATGTAAATTTAGGTTCCCTAAGACCGACACATGTAAGCGGCCCTTTTGACATAAGAATCAGTTGAAAGAAACAAGAAAATCAATTCAATGAAACGTTCTTTTCGTCGATTTGCTAATGTTTCGGTTTGAGAACACTTAATTTTACATGAAATGTTTGTTTACGTTCCATCATTTACGTCCAATATGGATTACGTCCCGTGTAAAATTAGTTATTTCTAAGTGTGTGGGTACCATCACGGCAGAATAAACGTTTTGACTGAGTGCTCGGCTGTCAGCGACTCGTTTACCTCTCAATCGTTCAGACTCTCACGAGGCAGTGAATGATGAGGCAGATGGCAGTTCAAATACATATCAACATGACTCAATGAACCTGACTGTTTTGCGCACTGATAAAATTACGTTTACGTGTCATCCTTTATGTCAAAGATGGATTCCGTCACGTGTAAAATTAGGTATTTCTACGTGTGTAGCTTTGACTTTTGTGTAGTAATGCAGGACGGATATTGATTTAAAAAAAAAAAAAATCGCATTGTGAAAGATATTCAACAAAATGACAGGTCGTCAAAATATCCAATGGTGATGACAGTTAAATGGTAGGGAAAAATGACCCTTGATGTTAGTCCCACTAGCATAAACATGCAGCTGCACATTTTCATTTTGGTTGAGTTACACACTTATTAAAATTAATGTAAATTTAGATGCTCTGAGGCTGACGTATACGAGCGTCAATTTTGACATGACATTTAGTCATAATAGATGTGAAATTCAGTTCAATCAAACGTACTTTCGAACTTTTCAGTCTCGGCGCACTTAATTTTGCATGACATGTTTGTTTACGTCTCATCCTTTATGTCAAAGATGGATTCCGTCACGTGTAAGATTAGGTATTTCTAAGTGTGTAATTCTAAAGCGAAACTTGGAAATATTAGTTAAAATATGCATTAGTAGATACTTTTACATGCAATTAATTCATTATTCGATAAAAATAATGCCTAAAATCTTACGGACGAGACTAACATGCGTCTATTTGCTCATGAACGAGTCAGAATAAACGCATAACATTATCGCAGCTTGCTATGATGCATTGGCGTTGACGGCGACTGCTAAGGCTCTGAACCATTTGGCGATTTTTTTTTAACTTTTGGTTAAAATTTGACAGATGAAAAGTTATCGATTAACCCTGCTATCCGAGCATGGTTATTTCTGACAGACAAGAAGTTAAATTTTGACAACCGTGGCTCGAAAACCGGTCAATCGACAGCACGGGGATTTTCGAACATGGAAAATAACTTTCGAAGTGTCACTTTTAAGCACGACTTAAATTTAACTCAGCAAATGGTTCACAGCCTAAGAGGAAGAGGAGACAATAGGGGGCCTTTTTGAACCAATTTTATGTCAAACGCAAATCAGCGTCTGATTGGTCGCGTAAACTTATAGAAACGCGAGAATTTTTAGAACAGGAAATCTAATTTCTTCATATCTCCTCTTCCTCTTAGGGCGACTGCAACTCTTTATACTGCTATGGTCGAATTCCATAAGCTGTGCGTGAAATATGGCACACTTTGACTTATCTTTTCACTCTACTGAAAAATCCCATAACAATCTGCCGTCATCAACGCCAAAATTTAATGGGTTTTCTTTGTTCAATTGTTTAGAAATGACTGCTCTTGATTATATAAAACTATATGGATGTGTGGATACCCGTAAAAAAAAAGAACGATAGAGGTACAATGAAATGTATTGTAACCATACAATAGAATTTATTGTACTTAAAATAAATTGTATTGTCCACAACGATAAAATAATCATAGAATTTATTGTTTCCACAATAGAATCTATGATAAATGGGGAAATCTACAATAGAACAAGGGGGTTTTTATGTACACTGGAGTCGCTTTTTACGCGGTTTTTTTTTACACGGTTTTTTTTTACGCGGTTTTTTTTTACGCGGATTTCGGAATTTACGCGGTTTTTTTTTACGCGGATTCCGGAATTTACGCGGTTTTTTTTTACGCGGATTTTGGTTTTTTTTTACGCGGATTTCAGAATTTACGCGGTATATCGCTTTTTACGCGGTTTTTTCTTACACGATTTTTTTTTACTCGGTTTTTTTTTACGCGGATTTCGGAATTTACGCGGTTTTTTTTTACGCGGATTCCGGAATTTACGCGGTTTTTTTTTACGCGGTTTTTTTTTACGCGGGACATATCACCCGCGTAAAAAGCGACTCCAGTGTATCTTAACCGTACAAAAAATTACTTTTTCCCGAAAAAAATGGAGCCATTTATCATTAATTTGTTTGTTTTTCTATTGTTTAAAATTCATACTATATGGGACGTATTGTAGATCTACTGTTATTACAATATTTTAAATTTACTTGTATTATATATACCGTGCCGATTCAAATTTCGGACACTTAAACTCGAATTTCGGACACTTTTAAAAGTTGATTATCTCGGTCGAATATGATCCACATGTCTTGTAAATTTAAAATTTTTTTGACTAGTGCCCTCCACGATCATCTAACATTATTACTTTGTTTCTAACTGGATGTAATATTTAATTAAACATGAAAGTGTCCGAAATTTGAATCGGAACGGTACACACAATTAGATCGATTGTTGACAATAGATTTTGTTGTTAATTTATTTTATGGTGATTGTATGGTTATTTTTTTCGGGTAGTTCTGCCGGTTACAAGTATAAATTCGATTACCAGTGGCAAATTAATTCAAGGTAATGTAATCTCGGAACATGAATTTCCTGGTTTGAGGTAAACTAAGAGCGACTAAGAAATTTCGTGGATCGTGGATGCAATTCATGAAATCTTTAGAAGACCCTGATCAGGATACTGGATTGGAAAAGAAAGAGTGTGAGGTATGTGTTATTGTAGCACAACACCACAAGACGTCAGGAGATCCTAAACGTTTTCGATTGTTCGACCTGCATTTTCTATGACGAGCATTAAAGGATTACCAAAATGCCACATGAAGCCTAAATACGGAGAATCTGTGCTGTCATATACTGTGGTTCTAGCCGTAGATTTTCAGAAGGTAATGTATTTTAGGTTGTACAAAAATATTCAGGTTAAGCGTGGATGACTTCAGGTTAAGCGTGGATGACTATGAAGAAGAATAAAAAATTTTAATTTCCTCGAATTGTAAAACATTTGGGAAAAAAAAAATTAATGTTGTCTCGATTTTGTTCTCCTATATTGTAATACCAGTTTTCTTAAAGTAATAGGTTAACGAATTAAGTAACTAGTTGCTGAAAAAAAAATTAATTGCATATTTTCAACTCTGAGTCTGTTATGCATTTATAAGCGACATGGAGCTCACAAGGTTTGGTGATTTATCCAACATTTCAGGAACAAACATAGCTTTTTGTTTCGAATTATTGAAAGTACATTTAATTTAAAGATGTTTCATGAATTTATCTTAAAAGTGGCGTAAAATCACGTGGAACTGGTCTGCGTTTATGGGCAGTACAATTTAAAAGAATCTCGCCAATTGTATATGTTTTGTTTTGAGAATTCGAAAGCCATTCAAGAGTCGAAAAATTCTAAATATTTTTACCCAACATTCTTTCAAAATAGTATGATTTTTATCTCAAAAAGTGCTCCGTTGCTTGAAAAGCTTGAAAATCTCTATCTAACTGTTTGATTTGCGATGGTATCATTTTCGAGAAAATCGAAATCGCTAGCCTTAATTGCCTATAGCCCCCAAATGTGTACTTACATTCTTGAACCCGATCGCTCAGCAGCACCGAAAGGAGTGAGATCAGTAGTGCTACGACGGCAATCCCGCAAACGATGCTGATCAGCGTTAGAACTTTTTCCAGCGCCGTCCGGCGTCTCCACCAACTGGGATTTCTGTAATTGTAAGAGAAAAAAAACAAGCACATCGATCAGAGAAACGGAAAGAAGCTGCTAAATGGTTACTGTCAATAGTACTGCGTCATTAACTACACAGTGAATAAGGCTACTTGTATTGAATAAGAGGGAAATCGGCACGGCATTGCCAACGACTGTTTGGGTTGTAGTTCGTCATGCTGGGGTAAACAACTTTCCTTGCTGATTCGTCAGTGTATTGTTCCCATTGATTACAACAGGGACACTGCCGGTGGGTTCGCATGATTCGCGTTTCTCTGTTTATGCTGATAATGAGGCTAAATACTGCCATTTAGGCGTCTATTAATGAACGATTAACACAGTATGTGTTTTTTACTCGCAGAGTGTTATTTACAATTTTGATACACTTTGCTGACCTCCTAGTACGGCTCGCTGCCTGCAAATACTACTATCTGCTAGACGCGTGTTCTCGCGTTAGACTGTATGATGCCAGTGCAAAAATCCGCTGGTTTTCATATTTTAGCGCAGTAAAAAAGGGCTTGCCCGTGAAACTAGAATCAGAAATGGTAAATATGTGTGTTTTTTGTGTGGGTATATTAAGGAAGTCACGTCTCTAAAAAAGTGCTGGCTTGGTGTTCGTCAGGGTTTTCAATGTTACAACGCTGCGTCTTGTAAAACATGCTAATGTTTTCTGCTGAGAGTGAATATTATGAAAATTTTAGCATCAATGTGCTAACTGGGTGGCGTTGGCACATTCTACCAGTGTGTTTTCACGATTATGCCTGTTTTTTGACAAATTTTGTGATGTAACCGAAAATACTTAAAAGACATCCCCAAATATTATCGCAGATTAGGATAGTACGATAAATTTTCTATATACCGTTCTGAGCCACTTAAATCAGAATCGTTTGAACAATTCTTAGACAAAATGTAATGCACTTGCTAAATCTGCAATAATATGAAGGGATTACTTTTCATTGTTTTCAGTTACAGAGCAAAAAATTTGTCAACACTGTTGTAACGTCACGAAGAGTGTGTCCATTATATCCTTGTAATTTCGAGTTACTAGCTTTGACAAAACTTATCGTTACATGATATTTGATATTAAATATCAAATTTTGTGTAAAGCGCAAACAACATATTGCATTTTTTGAAATGGCCTCCAACAGTCGACGATACGACTAGAATGGGAACAGTCAAGATACCTTTGCTTCCTCAATAGTACGTATTTGGTTAATCTTCATACTTTCTTCATTCGCGTGCTTACTTACAGGGTAAGATCAAATCAACTTACTTTCTCAATCGTTCCAACATCGACGAAACTGCATCGGCGCTAATCAACGAACACCGGCTGGTACTGATGCGCCGAAAATCTGCCACTGTGGGAACTGTTGCCATTGCCATCATCGCGATCGAATCATTAAGGTAAGAATGTCTTTTCGTTGTTGCTTCAGAAAAGAAAATTGAGTTTAGCTACCACTCATATACCTAATGCATGAAAGAATCAGCGTAGAAGCGCACATGTGCTTCTGCATCTTATACCATCCGTTCGCCGACTAATTGCTCATCTCTAATGGAGATTCGTTACATTTCAACGGGCGCATACGAGAGGAACTCGTTTACCTGTATGCATCCGCACAAAGTTATGTATGCTACCGTAAATACATGAGTGACTTGCGGCGGCATGCAATGCGGAAATTCGAAAATGAGTAAAAGTAAAGCGCCAATCTTATTGACCGCCGTTTTCGACGACGATCACGCTGGGTTGAAAATAGCTAGGTACCTATAAGAGTAGTCGACGTGACGCTCAAACTATTGTCGGGCGTTGGAATTTGTTCCACTTGTGGTCGCATACGGTGTGACCGATGATGGTTCGACAGTTTGTACAGCGTAATAGAGGTCGATATTATGGCAGTACGTGCTTTTAGGAAGTTTTACCCCCAATGGCCGAGTTTATACCGTAGGGTGGGTAATGGAGTCCATATGTTATGGGATAGCTGTGGGACCGGTGTTGAGTAATTAAATCTCTACTTGTCGTCACTAATTATTGGAATGTACAGTTAACATACATAATATGTGTGCGAAAACTTTGCCTGATCAGCTGATTTGCATGCCAGCCAGGAACAGTCTTATTAGGCCTAATGTCTCTAACGGGTTGCAGTGACTTGAGCAACGTTCGAACCAAAAGTCGAGGACCGGTTTTGGTAAGTGACTCGGAAAAAACCGCCAATCAGCGTTACTTCCGATACGTTAAGCTACATCATTTTGCATTTCTTGCTGAACCGTGCGCATGTTAAATCATATAACGTCATTCCTACAATGATGCATAATGATCGACGACGGCATCAGAAGTAATTGCAGTGGAGACCGGTCTTGATGCTGCGGTCAAACTGATGTAGGCCGACTGTCCAACTGATCGATTGACGGCGGATGCAAATTTTATATGTTACGCAGTCACTTGGTCATTACCATAATGCTTTCCGTGTGAGCGTTTACGGTAGTTTACGACGAACGTTATTATACAAACCCTGTCGTTGATGGATTTTTGGTTCTGGTTCAAACCATCATTTAAAACCTTTGCAGATCATCACGCCCTTGGGAAATCCTATCGTTTGTCAACACGAAGGTCATTCTCTGCTGGGGTTTTTATCTAATTCTACGATAAGGTAACATTCCGCAACCATTGTACTGTACCTATGACTGTCTGTCAATACCGTATCATTGTTGTTTACCTCCGTGAAATGTACGTGCATTCATGCGACGCTCCAAAGCTTCAAACGTCTGTTGCTGCGGTGCGGTGACAATGTATCGACCTCATGGTTCATAATTGAAAAAGCATTATATTGCATAAGTTTAGAGTTTTTTTTTGTTTGCACCATGCTGAAGGGTTAACAGACAGTTTCTCTCGGTTGCGGTCAGTTGTTTGTCGATATTAACCTCAATGTTCATTCAAACTTGGCCATTTTTCGCACGTCGCCTATCGAGTTGATTGATATAGGATATCAAAAAACCAACGCAAAAACGTTTCCATTATCCACGGGAAAGAATTGAATCACAAAGCTTGATCTAAATTGAGCCAAAATTGGCAATGGCTGCCTGTGTACACTTTCTACCGTGACAAATTGTTTGGCTAAACCGTGTCGGCGTGTAATGATGCATCACACCAGCGTCGTTTGTCGGTTTGAACAGATGCTTCACTGTATGGAAATGATTAGATGATTTGTTGATGGTACACGTGATGTAAAATCTTTTACACGTATATTTGAATGTGCCTATGCGTTTTGAGTGCTTATATAAATTGTCGAAAATTTGTAAATTATATAGAACGGTTGCAAATTCTCATTTCACATAAAAACATGTTTTTCGGAATAATGAAATCAAAAGATGTTATGATCACATGTTTCCCCAGTAAGCTACTAGAAGAGGTGGCAAAGTATGTATTTGACACATAAAACCTGTCAATTTTGCTAACATATCACTATCAGCGATCGCTGAGTGAGTGAGTGAAAATTGATAAAATCGCTGATTGCGACTCTCAGGAAGCGAAATTTACAGGTTTTACTGTTCAACCTCTTCTTGCATTTTACTTCACAGCTCCAGGCAAAACAGCCAAAAAATAATTCTTCTCAGATTTGCATGAAACTTAGTATAATTGTATGTTATGGACTCACATTTTTGCAAAAATTCGACCATTTTGGATCAAAAAATTACGTCTTTGACATTTTTCAATAAATTGTAGCACGAAAACGTCACTTCTGATCGAAATGACGTCTGAGACAAAGCTGCAGGGAAAGTAAATTATGTTTAGTAATTGTGAGCAAAAACATCTCAAAGTATACCATCAATTTTTAAAAACGAATACAAGATCCAAAATGGCATTTTTTTTGGAAAAATGTGAATGATTGTCCATAACACACAATTATGCAAAGTTTTATGCAGATCGGAGAAGGTCGAGTTTTTCCGACTCGCCATTTGGCGTGGAATAGCTCTATAGCAACATTTCATTGTTCTGTTTTGTCCCGGCAAACCTACATTTTTTACTCTTCGTCTATTCCATTAAGGAAAACTGCAATAAAATCATGCAAATTTGTTTTAGGATCTTACTATTGCTTGTTAGAAATAAACAATCTTTGCTCTGCGTAGGCAATGATGCAAATAAGTAAACATGCACGTGTCAACGTGTTTGTCTTTCCTAGAGCAAGAGCTATTAGAATCTAATTGTTTACCAATCCCATGATGTGAGTATTTTTAATGCATACTACTCCCATTCTACGTGGTAAGATGGAAGATGGAAGACTACGTACCGTACCGGTGTATTTTATAATGCGGGTTATGTTGGTAGGATAATAATATTATGATTAAATTTACTATCTGCACTATTTACGAATTTGTTTCCATTTTTTAGCTTAGGATATTTCTTATGATTTCGTGTAGCATTTTGATATAGGTAGTTTTCCTGTTTCAGAATTTTTTCCTGTTTCAGAACAAAAAAAAACAATTTTCTTGTTTATCGCCTTATTGAAAAGGCACTTAAGGGGTATTCAACTCTGGACTCCGTAATTTGTGCCGCGAGATTGTGCCGAACGTGCCGAAGTGTACCAATCAAGGTGTCAATATCTCATGAGTGTGGCAACCCTGAAGTTATAATGACTTTTGTGATTGTGTTTACATTTTCAATTTATTTTATGGTTTACTGCAAACATTAAGCTTCACTCTCATTTAAACGTGATCGGAGCGGGCAGCGGAAGACGAACTGGAGGCCATCCAACCAAATTCGACACGTCTAAAAGAAACAAGTGCAGAAACGAAGATGTAATTTGATTGAAGGTGAACCAAATTTCCTCCAGCTATCTGTTAAATGCTCCCCGACAAAATTAAACCCAGAACTCGAACGGGCGTAAATTCAATCTCTAGAAACAATATCCTCGAACCAATTCATTTGATCAACTCAGAAGTATACGTGACCTCGAAGAAATCACCGTCGCTGATTATGATGTCCACCCAATTAATCATGTTTTGTT